TGTGCATGTGTAAACAGCTAATTTTCTAAACTACTCTCTCAACGATTGTCGACATAGTAAAAACTACACAAAATCAGAACTGGGGTATGTAAATTGTGTTTTGCCAATCTTTCAATTGTGTCTACCGTTCGAAATAATAGTATGTAAAATTCATACTTTTTACCTGGGCTCGAAACCTGACCGTTCGTGCCAGTTGGGAATATACAAATATCTGATCCGACAAGCAGCAAACAGGCATCGGACAGACATCGGACAAACAAACCCAATGCTTGCGAATTGAGCAAAATTAAACGAGATTTAAAACGAGATTTTGAGTGCTGGCATTCAAAACTGACTTCCTCTGTTTGGTGAAAGACTATCTCAATTCTCGTCATTTGGTCTTTACTTAAATTGGACTTAGAGAAGTAACAATAAAACCGAAAAAGGAATGCCATAGCATAAAGTAAAACGAAAAAAATAAGCGAAAAAATTCAGAGGATAATGAAGAAAAAATTTATGCGGAGAAAACTAAAGACATCATGACAAAAAGAAGTAAAGAAGAAAACCAAAGAATAAAAAAAATGTAAAAGAAAGAAAGAAAGGAAGGAAGGAAGGAAGGAAGGAAGGAAGGAAGGAAGGAAGAAGAGGAAGGAAGGAAGGAAGGAAGGAAGGAAGGAAGGAAGGAAGGAAAGAAAGAAGAAGAGGAAGGAAGGAAGGAAGGAGGAAGAAGAGGAAGGAAGGAAGGAAGGAAGGAGGAAGAAGGAAGGAAGGAAGAAGAGGAAGGAAGTAAGGAAGAATAGGAAGGAAGGAAGAAGGAAGGAAGGAAGGAAGGAAGGAAGGAAGGAAGGAAGGAAGGAAGGAAAGAAGAAGAGGAAGGAAGGAAGTAAGGAAGAAGAGGAAGGAAGGAAGGAAAGAAGAAAAGGAAGGAAGGAAGGAAGGAAGAAGAGGAAGGAAGGAAGGAAGGAAGAAGAGGAAGGAAGGAAGGAAGAAGGGAAGGAAAGAAGAAGAGGAAGGAAGGAATAAAGAAAGAACAAACCAAAGAAGAAACAAGAACGTAAAAAAAAAGAAAGTTGAGAATAAAGAAAGAATAATGAAAGAAAGAAGGAACGACAAAAAATAAAATATGAGGTAAAAGAAATAAAGAAAGAAGAACCAAAGAAGAAATAAAAATGAAAAAGAAGAAAGAAGAGAGAAAGAAAGGAAGAAAGAAAGAACAACCAGAGAATAAAAAAAATTGAACCAAAAGAAAGAAAAAAAGAAAGAAAGAAAATAAAGAAAGAAAGAATGAAAGAAGGCACGAACAAAAAAATAAAAAAACGGTAAAAGAAAGAAACAAGGAAAAAAAGAAAGAAAGAATTTCATGGAAGAAATAGGCAGGAAAAACTAAAGACATGAGAAATAAAGAAAGAAAGAAAGAAAGAAAGAAAGAAAGAAAGAAAGAAAGAAAGAATGAAAGAATGAAAGAAACAAACAAACAAACAGACAGACAGACGGGAATGAAAGGGAGACGGAAATAAAGAAAGAAAGAAAAAGAAAGAAAGAAAGAACAACTAAAGAAGAAACAACAATGAAAAAGAAAAAAGAAGAGAGAAAGAAGAGAAGAAAAAATTGAACAAAAAGAAAGAAAAGAAGAAAAGAAAGAATAAAATAATAAAAACGGTAAAAGAAAGAAACAAGGAAAAGAAGAAAGAAAGAATTTCATTGAAGAAATAGGCAGAGAAAATTAAAGACATGAGAAAGAAAGAAAGAAAGAAAGAAAGAAAAAAGAAACTGAGAAAGAACTACAAAACATGCGGTAAAAAAAAGAAAGAAAAAAGAAAGGAGAGAAGAAAGGAAGAATGCCATAAAAAAGAAAGAAAGAAAGAAAAAAAAGAAAAAATGCCATAAAAGAAAGAAAAAATGAGTTAAAAATGAAGGAAGAGACAAAGTTATGAAAGAAAATAAAAGAAAAGAAACTGGAATAAAAGGAAGAACGCAATGAAAGAAAGAAAGAAAGAAAGAAAGAAAGAAAGAAAGAAGATCAACCAAAGAAGAAACAAACATTGTTAAAGAAAGAAAGAAAGTATAGAAGGAAGAAAAGAAAAATGCCATATACGAAAAATGAGAAGACAAAGGTATGAAAGAGAAAAAGGAACAAAAGAAAGAAAAAAACTGCAGAAATATTAAAGGAAAAGTGGAATAATGTTCTCTCTTCCTCTCCGCTCGCCCACCCTACACAGCCGCAAAGAGAGAGAAACGTGAAAGCAATCAGTTGAAATAAAAGACGACATTGGAAATATGAAATCACTGCTATATGCAAAGGCCAAAGCACAAAGCTGACGTAGAAATAAATAGCCAAGAGGAAGACAAACGTCTCTGGGTTTGAGACAAAGATTCTACAATGGCTAGTAAAGAGAGGAGCCGATGTAAAACATGGCAATGTCGACGCCATATTGGCCTTAGAGATCCACACCCTGACGTCATCGCAGCTCGATCGATCATTGGATAAAAACAGAGAGGCTATACTGGACGGCGATTGCACTGCGGCCCGGCAAATATATTTGGTCGACTGAAAAGAGGAGAAAAAAATAGGAATAAATAAAAGAAAAGCAAAAATGAAAAAGAAAAGAAAAATAGCACAAAATATAACCACCATATTTTTTATTTTGTATTCCTGGTCCATCCAACATGTCTTCAATTAATCTCCCATCGATCACAGCAAAGGATTTATCAGAATCAAGTCCCACCATCATTTCCCTTCCGACGATCTTAAATATCAACCTTTCAGTCTTTCTTTTTTTTCTTTTTTTCTTTTGCATATATATATATATATATATATATATATATATATATATATATATATATATATACTATCACATGCTATATATATATATATATATATATATATATATATATATTATATATATATATATATATATATATATATATATATATATATATATATATATATATATATATATATATATATATATATATATATATATATATATATATAGCATGTAAATATATATATATATAGATGCAAGTTTATGAGCATCTGGATTATATATGAACGTATTTGTTCCAACAATATTTATATATTCATATTCACACACAAACACACACACGTGTGTGTGTGTTTATGTGTACAGACTAAAAACAAAACGACCACGAGTATACAGAGGTACATATTCAGATATTTGTATGTACAACGATTTATCAGCAGGTTGACACACACGCACACAGATGCATTCACAAACACATAGACAGACACACGCGCACAGAAACATGTACACAAACATATAATGGTTAAAACTTTCTATATTTATATCGGAGACAGAGTGTTTTTAAATATCAACAGTGTGTCCATAGGAATCAACATTGCATGCTGACTGACAGTTTCATACCTAAATTCGATCAGAGCTCGTTTGTAACTGCAAACAGAGAAGGCAAATCCCGACTACAATCTCAGTAACCACATCCTCACTGAAAAAATAAATAAAACTCTTTAACCTATATCTAACGAATTTATTTCAAACTTAGAACCCCCCAGAAAAATGATAAAAATCAAATAAATAAATAAAATCATTAATAAATAAGCAATTTCTCCTATGACCATAAATAAGTCTTTTTCTCTCCATCTATGGGTTAAATAGCAGGTTAGACTGGGTCATATATCCCTGGTTGGCAATCAGTCTACGGCAGAAAGTAATGGCAACCTATTTCCAAGTTAATAATGAATCGAAAATAGATCTGATATCACCCAAGCATACATGTCATCTAAGGAGGGATTAGCCTTAAACAGAAAAAACTTGGAAAAGTTAGTTTCCTCTTTTCCCCCACTTCACTTAAATCCCCCAGTGTCATATATACACAGCTCACTATATATACAGCCCGCATAAGGAGTAATGCCACTCGATGTAAAGATCGCATTTAGGTGTGCATCTGACAGTTACCATGCAGTGCTGATTGCTAAGTCACCACGAGATAGATAGATAGATAGATAGATAGATAGATAGATAGATAGATAGATAGATAGATAGATAATAAACAAAGTGAGTGAGATAGATAGATAGATAGATAGATAGATAGATAGATAGATAGATAGATAGATAGATAATGGACATTTTTAATCTGACGTTATTTTGTTTATAATGTAAACGTTATATTCAGTTAGTTCCTGGGCTTAAGTTGACACGTTATTTTAAACAGAAAAATGAATGCCTGCAGGCTTAGAGATCGAAAGTCTTATTAAAGAAAATGAGCATCTTGATATTTGTTTTAATATGACTTTCGATTACTAGGCCGGTAAAAATTAATTCCACTTTAAAAACAGGCCAAGGATTTCAGTTCAAACACGTGTATTCACTAAATGTAGCATTTTCAATTCACCGTAACGAAATGGCGCGCAAATCAGAACAGCAGAATTTCTTCTTACTACTGAGTGCTCGAAAATTGTGAGTTTGTTCCAGATTAATTAAGCTTAGTAAATATCCATAATTAAAAATCAGGTTACTTGTGGTAAAGCAATATTTATAAGGCTAGTGAAGTCGATCCTCACTGGCTTCCTGCCGTGTAAGTTAACACTTGTAAATTGCTATTTATAAATGCAACTGTAAAAATATCGACGTTTTATTATGCCAAGGTCGTTGTTCGCAATAATTTTAAAATTTTCAGACACACACAGACAACAGACACACTTACAGACACACTGACACATATACAGGCACACAGAGACACACACTAGAACACAGACGCAGAGGCAGACACCCAACACACACAGATACAAATACAGACACACAGACAGACACACAGACAGACACACAGACACAAGCATGTTTGTGCGTACGCAGTGATTAAAAAACAGATACACGCGCACTCACGTGGGCACTTCGACGTGATGTTATGGTCAACAAGCTTCTCAATTACCAATAAGTAGTGAGTTCGATCCTCACTGGGTGACCCCTACTTTCGGCTTTGTGCCACATCTAAGTTACGCTTAGTAAATCAGAGCAGTTCAACGTGATGTAATGGTGAGCTAACTTGTCTCACTAGGTCATTTACGACTGAATAGTGAGTTCGATCCACACTGAGTGCCCCATACTTTCGGCCTTATGCCACAACTAAGCTACGCTTAAAAAAATCACCATAGACGCCCACTCACAGGCACGTATTTGGAGCGCACTTCGCGGGGTGCGTGTTCAGACTTAAATAGATATCCAAAACTGGTACCCAAAGGTGTGTGTGTGTGGGGGGGTCTGTCTCTCTATGTTGGAGGGTGTCTGTCTGCATATGTGGGAGGGTGTCTGTGTGTGTAATTTCAAGAAGATGCGAATCATTCCATATGTAAAGAGATAGATAGATAGATAGATAGATAGATAGATAGATAGATAGATAGATAGATAGATAGAAAAAGATTGACAGGCTTGGAAGTGAATTATAGAAATATTCACGCAGCACTAAAATAAAAAATTTTAAAATATTCTTACTTCTCTTGCCATGAATTGTTTAAAAAGGTCATCTTTGTCTCTTAAATTGACCCCAGTCCATAAGGAATGGCGTCAAGACATCCGGCGATCAAGATAAGCCATACCCAATGTGAGCCCTACCCTTGTGGAAAGCAGGTCTGACAAGAAAGCCGAAAGTAATCTAAGATGGGTGCGTACATAAAACTGACAACCCACAGATTATAATCTCGTATTTCTAAAGATTATTTAGCGTCAGGTATGGATACCTTTCATTTCACGAGAGAAAAGATTGTGTCGATATTAGATATGATCAACACATACGTCGTAGTGTATATGTCGGGATGAATTCTTTTGTAGAAAAAGAGAGAGAAAGAGAGAATGGGGGAAGTAGGGGAGAGGGAGTGCAAAAGAGATGGACAGAGAGTAAGAATGAGAGAGAGAGAGAGAAAAGATAATTAGAAAGAGTGAAAGAGGGTGTGTGATAGAGACGGAGAGAGAGGAGGTGAGAGAGGGATAAGCAGATATGTGTATACGTCGTGATGGACATTTGCAGAAAGAGAGAGAGAGAGAGTGGGAGAAAGGGAGAGAGAAGGTATATGAGTGAGAGGTTAGAGAGAGAGAGAGAATGTGAAACTGATGAATTTTTATTTATTAGTCCGACAGACTAATAAATAAAACGTTACTTTTACTGGATACCCGTATTTGAATAGACGCTCCGTTTATTTATTTCTTTGATCAACCACCCACTTCGTGTCCAAGACGTTCTAAATAAAGTCGGCTCTAACAACGGTTTCTCCTGCTAAGAAGAACGTAGGTTCGAATCCTGGCGGGGAGCGAAGATTTTTCGAATTTTGGTAACTAACAGCGGCTCGGACTGAGGAATGAGAGAGCCGAGTTCGAATTCCAGTTGAATCCATTACATTCATTTACGTGTTAACACCCTTGGGAAAGGTATGAATCCTCCCCCCCTCGAAATGGGTAAATAGCAGGACAGACCGGGTTCTATAACCTTGGATGGCAACTGATCTACCGCAAAAAGAAATGGCAACCTACTGCGGGAAAAAATCTGCCTCGTCAGTCATGTATCAAAAGATACATCATCGCCTAAGCGTGTATCACGCATGGTACGATTGTCTAAAAATAGTGTTTAAGGAATAAAATCAGTTGGATTAATAAACAATAATCCACCACTTCTTTAGAAATTGCTTTGTTTACTTTAGGATACAAAACTGAGCTGATATGAATGTTTTGAAGGTCTCAGAAAGATATATATTTATAAAGCATTATTCAAATTTGCTTGATCATAGCACGTTTCGTAGCCAACCCAGTCTAAATCACATTGAATCTGACGACGATTTCCCCTGCCTATGGGGCTCGCAGATTCAAGCACATATTTTTATTTAATAGGATTTCTCGAATATTCAGGCCGTTAAATGGAAATAAATATACTGTTTAATCATTAAACGAGCATCTATTCAAATATAGGTATCCACTAAAAATAACCTTTAAGTAATATATATATATATATATATATCATGTCTCACACTTCTCGCCTGTGGAACTCCCTCCACATTTCTTGTTTCTCTGATAGCTATAATCTCCAACTATTCAAATGTAATGCCAATCGACATCTCCAGATGCCCTGATCTATCCCCTAGCCGTCTCTTCATCCTTTCCTCTATCACTCCTCTTTGCTCTCGCTCCAACTCTGTGACCCCTTGCGTGCTAGTGGCTTCCCGCCTTGTTTGGGGTGGAATGCTTAAATATATATATATATATATATATATATATATATATATATATAAAGTCTATGAAAACTAGGTAATCCGTATGGGTAGAACCAAGGAGGATAAAATCCAGAGAGCTCAATGTAAATTCAGAGCAAATATGTTTGAATAAAAAACAGACCACTTTAAGGTTCCATGTAATAAATTATTTCACCACAACCCTTTTAAAGGGCTCTGGATTATCAGACTTTACTTCCAAAGGTTAAAACGAAAAATATATGGTGGACTCTACCGTCGTATTCGGCGTATGAGGGTCAACCAACTCAGTTCCTAGGAACCGACAGCGTAGACACCAGCACATGTGATTTAATTATAATGGTGAAGGTATTGTGCAGAGCCATCCACACTTTTTGAAGGGCCCAATACACAGAGACCTGGAACACTACGTGCCACAATGTCCCAAAATGACCCTCCGCAGGTTTTGAATTCAGAGTTGTCCTTCTCCTAGACCAGTTGCCATATTCAAGGCTATAGAACCCAGTCTATCCTGCTATTTACCCATAGCTGGAGGGAGAAGAGGATTAATAAGTTTCACAAGGGTATTATTAGCACATAAGTCAATGTAATGGATTCGACTGGAATTCGAAATCGGTTCCCTGATTCCTCAATCTATTATATATATATATATATATATATATATATATATATATATATATATATATACAATTACTAATACCAATATTAGTACTCAGTAGGTAAAAAACCTCGATAGCACAACTTGCAAGTCTATCAAAACAAATTGGTACCCGAGGAAAAAATTGTAAAACAAAGAAAGAACTACAAACATCCGAATAGGGCAAAATAAATCGTCCAGCGCCTTAAGTTTTTAGTCCAAAGAAAAAAAAAAACAGATTATCCTGAAGATTCGTTTAGGTGAAACCTAGGTAGGTTGTTCCTGGCTCTTTAGGATTTATTATTATCATTATTATTATTATTATTATTATTATTATATATATATATATATATATATATATATATATATATATATATAAAAAAAAGAACAGTAAGATATATAATCCGCTGTTCTTATAGATATTTTATTTTTACAAAATAGTGCTCAAATGTAAATTTAAGAGCATTAATATTATAAATTAAATCGATTTAAAATATGGTTTTTCCAATACAAGAATTCTAACCATGTTTCAAAAATGGAAATTCTAATTTAATTTTGTAATTAAATTAAAGACATTAGTTCCATTTCATCTTCAAGCAATTTTGGAGTAACTTTTAAAATTTAACAGAGGGCGGTGAATTATGATTTTAGCTGTGTCTTTAAAACCCAGTAATTTTAAAAGTTACTCCAAAATTCGCTTGAGGATGAAATGGAACTAATGTCTTTAATTTAATTACAAAATTAAATTCGACTTTCCATTTTTGAAACATGGTTAGAACTGTGTAGCAGAAAACCATATTTTAAATCAATTAATTTATAATATATATATATATATATATATATATATATATATATATATATATATATAAATGAAATGGAATAAGTCTCAAAATTCTTGAATATATTTTCTGCTTATACGTTAATTTTATAGATGCAATTCATTTAAGTAAATGCCCTCTTTTTAATTAAGCAGTATTAATTAATTAATTGCATTTACCGACCTGGATCGTCGAGAAATTCTCTAGAAAATATGCGTTCTCCGATAGTATTCGAACCTGTATTCCTATACGGAAACCGTCATTTGATCTGACGTGCTATACCATTTAGGGAATGTTAGTCTCCCCAATCCACTTTCCAACTGAACTCAGCAGATCTTCAGTAACTGGGGGTCGTGTTTTACAAAAACAAATGGTGATTTAAATTCTCCAAAGGATTCTAACCCTTTATCCACTGTGCCATGTGTCCTTGAGGACATCTATGTATGAATTTCTGGGTATTATAAACTTAATGTCTTCAGCAAACATTTTTACCAGTGCTCATATTGCAATTTTTTTGTTGTTATCGTTGCATGTTTTTACCAGAGCTCATATTGCAACTTTTGTTGTTATTATCGCTTTTCTCTGACACTCCTTATTAATATTGTATTCACTTCTATGCTTGGTCGGCTCAGGAGATTTTTGTGGCCTAGCATATGTGCTGATTCCTTAAGTTTACGAATTTTCCAATGGTGTTCCTTGTCTATGATCTCAACCTGATCCCACAGAGGGTGGTGATCTCACTTTTCTCTCCATATGTGGTCAGCCACGCCTGATTTTTCTACTTCCTCTCGTGTTACAGTTTTCTGGTGTTCTTGAAGCCTTTCCTTAAGGAGGCGGCCTGTCTCCCCTTTATATTTCTTTCCGCAGCTGCACAGGATAGTGTACACACAGTCTTTAGTCATGTTCACCTCTATGGGGGGGGTCTTACTCGGGAGAGATATCTGCGAAGTGTCGTCAAGCTTTGAATGTTGTCCTGATGTCGTATGGACCGCAGATTCTTTGTATTTTCTCTGATAACCCCTTCACATAAGACAGGCAGACTGTTTTCTGAGTGTTGTTGTCCTCCTCCTCTTGTACCCGCCTATCCCAGTTTTTTGGGGCTGCTTCCATGTACCCAGGGTAGTTGTTACGTTGTAGGGTACTACGTATACTGACCAATTCTTTATCTAATGTCTCTGGGTCGCCACTTATGATTTTGATCGGTGTTGTAAGCAGCGGACGACCCCTTACTTAAATTAAATAAGTGGGAGGGGGGATTAACAGATGTAAAAAAAAAAAATTACCAAAAAAAATTACCAAAAAAGAATTCCACAATTATCTGATTTTTTAAATTATTTCCAAATCAATGTGCCCCGACTGCATGAATTTAAACATGCTACTAGATTGGCATCTAGGTCCCACCCTTTTACTGTTGAAATAACTAAATGCACTTCTACACCAACAGTTTCTTTTTTCGCACTTCCGACCTGTGGAAATCCTTTCTTTTTAATTGCTTCTCTAACAAATACAATCTTCAAAAATTTAAATGCAACGTCAATCGCCATCTTGTATCTTCTTGAATCACGTTCAGCTTTTGTCCTTTTCTCAATCCCCGCTTTGCTTGGGATGAAACTATGAATATATATATATATATATATATATATATATATATATATATATGTGTGTGTGTGTGTGTGTGTGTGTGTGTGTGTGTGTGTGTGTGTGTGTGTGTGTGTGTGTGTGTTTCATTAAAGACGACAGACAAGGTACAGCAATGAAGCTTTTTATTTAATTTTTATTGTGTTCGTACAAGTGTTTTCTTTTCTGGACACAAAGTGGGTAAAAACTGTTCGACTGTTATACATCCAAACGCTTTCGGCTATTCTACTAGCCATTATCAAGGACGATTTTTATTTTTAACTGCATGTGTGTGTTTTTTTTTATGTATGTGCCTGAAGTCATATGAATATTATAATTCCCAAACACGGTCAGCACATTGTGGCTGTGTTCGCAGTTAATGTTATTGAGTTTTTATGTTTACTTATTTTTATTATTAGGGCTTCCTTTATTTTTAATCTTTTTTTTTTACATGTGTATGATTCTATTATACTTGTATTTTCTATTAGTATGTTTCCAATGTGGGTTTGGCAATTTGTGCTGTTATTAATATTGCTCAAAATTAATTTTAATTAACACTATGTGATTCTACTCATCAAATTACATAACAATAAGCAAAATAAGTTGAAAAGCACAAAATATGCCATAATTAAGCTTCTAATATTGTTTTTAATGTTGTTCAATATTAATTTTAATTGACACTAATTAATATAGTTTGTTTTTTTAAATTAAATTCGGACATTCTTTCAAAAACTCAATGGATCAAGAGGGTTGCCTTCATTGGTTCGTATTTGCATCGAGAAACAGACAATTGTTTTAGTTTGATTAATTTATTTTTTACCACACCCTGGACGATTCAAATTTAAAAGAGATTTCAGATTATTTATACTATTTACATATGGACTATTGTCCTTATCTTTCTTGTTGTCATCACAACATTTCGAGCGTTGTGCCCTCTGGCCTTCATCAGGAATATATGTCGATCCGAGTAGCCTAACCTAGTGGATTAAAGTGGTAGCTTTTGAATTTGGTGACATAGTAATTGTGAGTTCAATCCCTTGGCAGGGCAGTGTGTACTTGGACTCAGTGGAAACAAGGCAAGCAATAGCTGAGGAGTACTAAACTAGACGATATATCCATAGACATGGAACGAGAACAGTCTACAACCGTAGATTAAATAAAGGGTTCTCTTCGGAGTTCCACGTAGGGAGTCTAAATTGATATACACCTGATGAAGGACGGAAAGCACAACAGCTGAAACGTTGTGATAATAATAGTCTGTATCTAATTAGTGTACATTATGATAACTCCTCATTCCAGAAATTCAGACGGAATTATTTCAGAATGTAAGTAGTTGTTTACATCAACCGGGGTTCCCAAGTCCTCCCCAATCTGGAGATTTGTTTCAGAACGTCAAAAAAGAATTAAATGACAAAATATTAAATGAAATTACTCTAAAACAAAGGCGCTTGGAATTCCTGTCTAAATGAAGTGTTTATTTCTTTATAAAAATTTATTCATTTTTACTTCATTTTTTTCAGGTCCTTCAATACTATTCGTTAATTTCATTGCTGATTTTACTATAGAAAATCTTTATATATGATTTTATGATAGACAAGAATCGAAAATTAAAGAATTCTGATATTTTCTACTTACCATTACAGCACGTCGTATTTTTATTTGTTAAATAAATGTAAATATTTTATAATATTTATTTTATAATAATTTATAAAATAGCCAACCTATACAAAGTATTAGAATCAACAATTGAAAATCATTTGCAAGTTATATTCTGTTTAAGTCAAATATAAGAATACAAGTTATATCAATGGATCAGACAAGGTATGAAACCTCTAAACCCGATGGTGGTCGCCTTATTTTTAAAAAATTCTATAAATAATTGATTGATTGATATCAACGCTTTGAAGTTTATTTAGAGCCAGAGAATGTTTTTAGATTGTAAGAAATTTTTCAGATAATAATGATACAGGTCTTTAATTAACCCACGTGGGAAGAAGAGGTGGGTTCATGCCTTTCCCAAGGGTAGTTGCGCGTAAATGAATATAACGAAGTCAAGTGGAAATGGAACTCGGTTCTCCAATTGACAATTCCAAGCCATTATTCATTACACCATCCGCACATCCACGGTTACAGCACCTGATATTTCCAAGCGGTCACCCATCTAGGTACAGACCAGTCTCAACTCTGCTTAACCCCGATGATCGTACAGGAACCGGTGTTTCAACGTGATATGGCTGTAAGTCACAATGAATGATGATTAAATCATTTGATTTTACTGTTTACCACTCTGGTAAAGGAAAGCAAGAAGAAAGGACTAACCAGGAGAAAATATATAGTTGTTAGAAAGAGAAGCAGCCACACATACAAGTCATCAAGTTTTTGAGATGATAACAGTTTACTGATACAAGTTTTACTATTTAACCTATAGCTGGGGGAGGTAGATTCAGAACTTTCCCAAGGGTTTTTGTGCTTCTCGAGACGTAATGTCTCCTACCAATTAAAATTGAGTGTCCCCTACCAATTAAACAAGATGGTCCCTAACCAATTTTTACCAATTCTAATGAACACAACTATTTTGTCTTAGAAAAATGATGAACACGTCAAATTTTTTGTCGTAGAAAAAATAAGACCCTGATGATGACATTGTGTAAATGTCGAAAGTACTCAGAATAAACCGAATACGCATCAACATCGTGATTTTCTTCCTTCCTTTAGTAAGATATTGAGAAGCTTGTCCGAAATTATGAGAAGATCCTATCAAAAATAAGTTGACAAAACTTGTCTAAATTATTTAATGATATATGTTTATGATATGTTTATTATGAACAGAGCATTTACTTAAATATTTGTATCCATAAAAAGAATGTATAAACATAAAAAATGTCTTAAAATAATTGTCGAACTTTGTCCATTTCATAATGTGTTAATGATATATATATATATATATTATTTTATATGCGCAGTACTCATGGAAAACGCTCAATATCAGTGATAGAGCTAACATATTCAGATGTATGGATATGAGTTTGTGACCCTGGGTTTCACGCTTTTGCGATCATCAGACAAAATGGGTTATTTTTTTAAATGGATCTATTTATGCTTGTTTGACTATGTTTGGTGGCGAGAAGGGGAATATACTTCTCTATTTGATTGGGGAGGTAGTATCATACGCATAGGCACATACATACAGGTGTACGCATTTTTGTTCACACAAATACATCCATATAAGAGATTGCAGGCTAAGCGTAGATACATATCCGTGCGTTCGGGCATATATACATACGCAGTTGTAAATCTATTTCGTAGCGACGTTCGTTTCAACAAGGAGCGGATAGGAATGTTCTTGACTCTTTTCAGATCCTCACACACACACATAGAGACGTATATAGACACGCACATACACTATTATTGGTCTGGGCCTTTTCATCACCACTTAAGCTGGGTTCTATTTGTGGTTAAAGTGATGATGATGTTTGTATTTTCAACGCTAATTGCTTGTTTGTTGTTGATGGTTGTGATGATGCTGACAGTGATAAGAGCTGTGATATTAATTATTATTGATAATGTTAATAATAGATGTTGATGTGCTAACGGTAAATTTAGCCTTAATGAGGGAATTATAAAAGAAGTGAAATCAATAATGACAAACGGAGATATGATAATAATTGTAGTAACCATGAAAATGATGATAATATTACAGATAATATAATGATAATGATGATAAAACAAAGGCGGTGTTAAAAAGTAGTACTGATGGTAGAGGAGATGGTTATAAAGTGAAAGATAGGACTAATGGTAGTGTAGGTAATAGTATTGATAGTTTTATTGGTCTGTGTTTATGGTGGTGGTTACGTTGATACCATTTTTATGTTAGTTCTTTAACTGATATTGAACGCTTTCCACTAAGTACTGCGCATATAATATATATATATATATATATATATATATATATATATATATATATATATATATATATATATATATTCTCAAGAGAATAGAATCCAGGTAGAACTCAATGTACAAGGCAAAGTTTCCACATGTCCTCCATCATTAGCAATACAAAGGATAATACGATTTTACAGTTCACGGAAAACATTTGCCAACTGATTTACAGTAATGCCTGAAATCACATTAGTTATTTTGGCTTTCAAATCTTCTAATGAACTAGGTTTGGTTGCATACACAATTGTTTTCACATGTTCCCATAAAAAATCTAATGGAGTCAAATCTCGCGAACATGGAGGCCAATAAAATTTTTCACCCCTTCCAATCCATCTGTTAGGAAATTCCTGATTTAGAAACTCTCTAACACGCAGAGCAAAGTGACAAGGAACTCCATCTTGTTGAAACACTGGATTATCTTTCAAGATTAATTGTTAAAGCTGCGGAATCAAGTAATTCTGCAGCATATCTAAATAGCTGTCACTGTTAATAACACAATATTGAAAAAATATGGCCCTATGATCCGATTTTTCCACAAGCACACCACACATTAACTTTAAGAGAGTCCCTTTCATGTTCAACAGTTTCATTTGGGTTCTCAGTTCCCCAAATTCGGCACTTATCCCTGTTGACCTTGCCCCTAATGTGAGATGTTGCTTCATCAAAGAACAGTAAACTACTCACAAATGCATCATCAATGTTTAATTTTTCATTGAACTGATGACAGAAAGTTATCCGTGCATAATAATCCTCTTCTAACAACTGTTGATGTAATTGAATTTTGTAAGCTTTCATGTGAAATTTTGCCTGCAGAATCTTATGCACACTAGACTTTGGGAGCCTGAGCTGTAATGATGCACGTCTTACAGACTTTCTTGGACTTGCTGTAAAGGATTTTTCTATGGATGCAACACTTTCGTCGCTGATACATAGCCTTCCAGACCGTGGCTTATCATGGACGGAGCCTGTCTTTTTAATTTTTTTCATCCATTTGGCAATAGTGTTCCTATGAGGTGGTTCTTTATAGTATTCAATTCTAAACTTTCTTTGTACAGCAATAGTAGATTTCAGTTCAGCCAACCAAAGGACACAGTTTACTTTTTTCTCAGTTGAAGCCATGAATCAAATTGATTCTGGAAAGAAGAAAATATTTTTTACTCATGTAAAAATTGTTGCAAATTTTGGGGTAAAGAATTATTCAATATCTATACTTAAAACTAGGCACATTAAACTATAACATTTTTTTACAGATTATTTCTTTGCAAATACAAATAAAGTTATAATTTTTTAAAGTGCACACAAACTTTATGGACACCATATATATATATATATATATATATATATATATATATATATATATATACTTTAAAAATCAGGTCAGTTGAATCCGCTACCTTGAGTATCTGTCTATATTTCTGAGATGAGGTATTATATACACTATTTACATTGCTTGAACTATCATGCTCATCTTTGTTGCCGTATTTATCCCAACGTTTCGGCCGTTGTACGCTCCGGCCTTCTTCAGGTGGTTGGAATGCCGAACTGAAACCTTTATTTCGTTCACTGAGGTAGTTCCACGTGCCATGTCTAATGGATGTAAGTTATAAGTTATCTCCTGTTAATTCCCGTCTCCAAGTCCTCCACCGTCTTAACCATGTATTGAACTCAGACTCTTTGGGTCCTGTCACGTGGGACATGGCACGTGGAACTAGAACAGTCTAAACTCATCCCAAAATTCCAGATGCGTTTAAATAATGATATGACAACCGTCCTTACAAAGCGTCAGTCTCGGCATTCAACATCCTGTAGGACATGATTTACATTATCCAATCACCTGAAGAAGGCCGGAGTGTATAACAGATGAAACGTTGTCAATATGGCAATGACGATGAGGATAACATTCCGAATAATGTAAATAATGTAAATAATTATAATACTTCATCTCAGAAACCCAATCACCTGAAGGAGGCCGGAGCGTACAACGGCCGAAACGCTGTGAATATGGGAATGAAGATGAGGATAACTGTCTGAATAATATGAATAATGCAAATAATTATAATACCTCATCTCAGAGATATAGACAGATATCCTGAAAGACAATATCTATTTTAGAAATTGAGTTTTGCACGTGGGCAAGTAGAAAAAAGTAGATGTTCTTATAAAATCTGCCAAGTTTTCGGTCACCTGATGTCATCTCATTATCACGTATGTTTCTGTGCTTCAAACAGTGGCACGTGTTCTAATACGGTTAAAGTGCGTAAAAGAGTCCAAGGGAAAGCAGGGTGGGGGAGTCATCTAACGTCGTGAACCTTTTGAAAGGCCGGATTGCCATTTCAGAGAATTGCTGCGCATGTCAGACGACACACCGATTCGATATTGGTCACGGTGAACACCCGTGCACCCGTAGAACAGGTTCTGGATGGCTACAGAGAACAGACGCGCATCAGGATTGATGCTCTGTAAGTACAATATTAAAAAAATTTAAATAATAATTTGAATAAATATCGGATTTATGGAACTACTCGGGGATCATTTGGATCATAAAGATAAAAATTGTTTTATGTTTTCAAACTGTAAAGTACGTTGTATAACTGCGATTTCATTTCATTTCTTCAGTAAAATAAAAAAAAAAAGTACATGTCTCGAATATCTCAACTTTGTTTTAAAAGCTAGTACCCGTGGAAACGGATATGATTATTTGCGTGTGAATGTTTGGAAATTGTCTAAGCCTGCACCGTAACTTACTTTGAACTCATGTACAAAGTATGTTGTATCGCAGGTTACATCTACAGCATCACTTGCTCTCAGTATGAGAAAAATAAGTATGTACGATAGTTTTATTTTTATATTATATTCACTTTGTCTTAACATTGATCCTTTGCATGTTGACTGTCTTGGATTTAAAAAAAAAACAAAAAAAAAAACAATGACAAAATTATCTATTTATTAGATTTAAGGAACTGCCGTATTTAAAGAACACGCTCAATTAGTTCTTTAAATCGAAGTTTCACTTTAGCTGTAGATCATAAGGCGTCTGTTGAAGAGATTAGAATGTATGTGAACCCCAGGAGTTCCCACCCGGGCGATTGAGAATCGCGTACTCAAACTGCTTTGACCTTTATACTCTCCGGCTTTCTTCCGATGTCCGTGTGTGTGCTATTAAACCGGAATGCAAGCAATTCACGCCCGACATCAAGGAAGCCGGATACACTAGGGTATTGACTTGAGATCAGTCCTGGCCTCAGAAGAGGAAAGCACTTGTATCTCCATCCGTTTTGCAAGCATGGGAAAGATTTA